CAGAACCTCTAAGTGGCTACTAAAAGAGCAATCAGATAAATAAATATCTTCTGTTGATAAGACCAGAGAATTTTATCAAAATATTTCACATTCAATTTTTAAGCTTATGATAAAATACCAGCAACTTTAATTAAAAGGCAATTAAATTTGGGAGGTACACAACATGAATGAGAGGGATATTGAAAAATTCAACTGACCAAGAAGCAAAAATCTGAAGTTTGATCAGATTTTGTTAAGTGCATTGAGCCAAGAATTTTTCAGCATCTTTTACATAAATAATGAGTAAAGAGATCACTATATGGAGATTTTCATGTAGCATATTATACAGATATTTTTTATTATTATTATTAAATAGAAACTTGCTTTTTTTTAACTGAAACTTTATCTTTTCTTGCTGAAATAAAGTAAAACTGAATTATTAAAATAATTGACAAATGTGTTATGCTTTCTTACATGAGTAATTGATTTCTTTATTTGATTGTGAATGAAATGACACATGTGAGTTTCAATTACTGCTTTACAGTTCTTTCAATAATCTAATTTATGAAAATACTGATATTTTTATAAAAGCATAATTTTAAAATTGACTATTTCTTTAATAGAGCAATTCTTTCACAGAATTATTTGCCGTTCTCATTTTTCTTGTCTATTGACAAGTGTTAAGAGAATTGGAAAAATATTTATAATTCATATATTTAAATGAAAAAGTTACTTGTGTTAATAACTAATATAAATTTTTATATTTTATAACTTCAAAAAAGTCATAAATTAATTTAGAACAGTTATATTTGACAAGTTGCCACACTAGAAAAAAAATGAAAAGTTACATCTGAATCTTACAGGATAATTAATTTCTAAAGCATCTTGCAAATTTTCCCCATGTACCATGAAAACAGCAGATTTATCACAAAAATTTTATGTCTTATTTCCTATTCAAATGGTAATTTATGCCCGATTATACTGATATTCTAGTATTTAAACTGAAACAAAAATTGTTCAGGCTTGTACAAAATCAATTCCAAGTCATAAAGGGAACAGGTTTTAAATATTTCACATCTTAAAACTAAAAGTATGATAATAGTCTACTTAACCCTAGAAAGCCTAAACATAAAAACAGATTTATAAAAATTATATCATTTGATCATCTTTATCACTGTAGTTTCACAGCTGTCCACCAGATGGCAGTGATGCTGAGGATCATATGTACTACAACTGGCATTTGTGGTCCTCAGGAGAGGTTTGTTTTTTTTTCAGTTTGGGGAAATCAATGTCTGTTTATACTTAGTTTCTAAATTGGCATCTTAAATGATACCACAGGCATCTTAGGGTTAAACTCCTTTTCAAATGTTTATTAAAAGAAAAAAAAAAGAAGTAAATCATAGATATACTGGAAATAATATTATATAGAAATAAATCAGGCATACACTAAAAATGATGAGGAATGGTTTGTGCATAAATTGAATACATGAAACAGAGGGGAACAAAATATCAAAAAATTTAATATAGGCAATCTAACAGTTAACTATTAAAAAAGGGCAGAGTAAATCATAAACAAGGAATATTTCACAAACTAAGAAAACAACTTATGAATTTCCAATATATTTTATTTCAGAGCTCCCCATATATTATGCCCAATACACTTGCTTTACATTCATTATTCTCACGTAACATGAACAAACCTTGAGAAACAATATATAAAGAATAAACTTGAGATGGAACTTGATATACAACATCAATTTAAACCATTAAATATCTACTTTTAACTTTTAAATCCATTTGCTTCAATAACTTTCAAAAGGAGCATAAAGCTTACAATATTTAATATGGGAACATACAAGAAAAAAAACAGTTCCCTATTTTTATTTGTTTTAACCGTTTGTCAACACCCACTCAGTAAGATAAAATTAAAAAAGTGAAAAAAAAGTTTATCTTTGCTGCTGAAGGCTCAAAGTTATCAGCTCTTACTTTGGTAAACAAAGTTTTTTTTTTTTTTTTTTTTTATTTATTTTAATCTTGTGTATATAAAAAAGTTTAAAATACAGATGAAAAAGAGGATTGTGAGGAAACAGAGCATTTAAACAAATTGAATGGGGAATGGCATACCAGAACAAGAAAAGCCTAAAAATTTAGAAAATAGAAGCAATGCTAACAAAGATTAAAAATATATTTACCAAGAGTTCAGTGGTAGAGTGTGGTACTAAAAATTTATCATGTTTAGCATTCAATCAATTACATGCATTATAAAGTTCAATGCAGAAAAGGAAAATTGATTTTAATAGAGTAAATGTATTTAGTTGTCAGTTGTATAATAGAAAAATTCACAATATGATTTACTTTGAATAAGAAATTATTAGATCAGAATGACTTAAACTAATATTTATCAACTGAGAAAAATATCAAAGTTAAAAACTCAGCTGATGCCATTAGCTATACGTTTCAATTAAGGTTGCAATGCCCAATTTTTCATAAATTGACCTCTGAATGAGCTAGCTTTATTCTTATACCAAATTTATTTACTATATATATATATATATATATATATATATAAAGTGTTTGGTGGAGGAGGGGGCATATTTAACAAAGCATATATATATATATATAAATTGCCTTTTTCACTGCAAATTATTGATTATAACATATCAAAGTATTTAGCAAAAAATTAGAGCCAATTACACACTATTTCAAGTTCAGTTTAGGTTTATAGTTTGTAACTATGCAATGAGGTAACATTAACCATAGATTTGTTTGTGGAATATCATTACATTATTGTTAAATAATCAGTGAAATCATTAAGGTTTTTTGTCAAAAACATTTTATTTTTGGTCATATATCAATTTAAAATATTCCTTTTTACAGGCTTTATTTTTGAAATGGAATAAGATCATTCTAAATTTCAGAATTTTACTATTGTCCATCAAAATGACTGGAAGAAAATCTAAAAACAACAATGAAAAAGAGAGTAACAAAGCAGAAATGAAATAGCTCCAGTTTATTTGACTTAAGAAACTTAGCATTGCAGTTAAAGTTTTCTAAAACGCTAACTAAGGAGAAAATAAAAAATACCTAGCAACAAACAGAATATAGCATCAAAATTTATATTTTTTATTTGTTATGTAACTAAATGCATAATTGTCAGCAATGTTCCCATAAAACTTGATATTTTCTGTAATAAATTCTTTATATTATTTTACTTAAGTGTAAGGTAATCCTACATTTACAATTCCTTACAGCTAACCATGAAAAGAAATCTTGATCAAAACTGTTAAAAACCTTTAAGCATGTATTGCACAAAATTATCAAATGTGCAATATGCCCCTCTTCTGCCAAATGAGTCATATATTTTAATTTATTTCAATGAAAATGAGAGACTTCAATTCCAAAAATGCAAACAATATCCAAGAAAATACCAGTTGCTACCACACAATAAGACAGTGGTTCCCAAACAGTGGTGCAGCAGAAGAGGATAGCAGGTGAGTCAGAATGATTGAAAGGCAAAGATTTAGAAACAGATTCAAAAAATTCATATGCCAAAATAAATATGTTAAAATTTAAAATATTATTATGGATTATATGTAATTGCATGCACAAGTCCATGTATAAATAGTTATTGTCCAATTTTATCATTGTGATATTTATATGAAGTATTACGAATATGATAACTAGGCTCCGCAAATTGAAGGAGAGAGTTATCACTGATAATGTTCTGGCTTCGAATCCGTGGTTATCTCCCTTTAACCCTGTTTTTTTTTTTTCACGTTTAAATGTACCACCAATTAAATAAATCACCAGCAATAACTTTATTACACACAATGTCAATGCAGCTCAAATTTTAATATTATGGATTACCAAAAGGCCACCAACAAAGCTCACTTCCAAAAATTATTTCAATGACAAAACATCAGACTATAGATTTGAAGAAATATGTCATGCTGAGAAATATTCAGCAAAACTTCATACCCTTTTCTCTCATATCAGACAAAATGCAAAATGAAAAGTTAAAAACAATTCGTTTACTCAAATATAATTATGATAAGATTATCAGAGGTACAAAATGTGTTCAATGATTTTCAACATTACTATTTCAATAAGTGATTATGTTAAAAACATTCCTATATTTTGAAAATTTTGATTTATATTTTGTCTTATATAGAAAATTATTAAAAATCTAAACAGTATAGACTTTATGAATTCTGTGCATCTTATAGAGAAAAGGAACCTTAGATAGAAGATTGAATAGATTCATCTGTGTCAAAATACAAAAAGTGGACAATAAGTCTTTACATTAAAGTCTTCATTTCTGTATAGATTTTCATACATTAGAAATTTTTTAATGATTTTGTCGCAATGTGGAACATCTCAACCAATTTAAAAAAAAAAACTGGCTGTTAAAAATGACCATTTCTTCTGATATTGTTCACCATAGTAATATTTTACTTGATTGTCTGCTTTACCTAACACTAAATTTGGCAGCCACTCTTTGGGAATTTTCTCAAAGAAACCAAACATGAAAGGATGTTGGCATAAATTAATTTTAGAATTCAAATACCTAAAAGAAAAATATTCTCGAGATTAGTATATATTGATGGATTATTATTAGTTTAAAATATTGCCTCGTTTCTTGAAAGTGATAGAAATAAATATATTCTCCAAATGTTTTAGGGCTCTTGCTGAAATATTAGTTACCTACTTTTAAAGTGTCATTTTAAACTGATTATGATTAATAATCATGTAGAGTTGAGTGTTAATCTACGTAAACCTGTTATATTTACAAATATTGGCTAAGTTCTAAGAATAAAAACCTGTTTCTTCACTCATTTGATTTTTTGCTTATAATTTGTGAATTATTTTTTTTTAAAGAAAAATACATCTATTGTATAAAATCAAATACAAAATGGTTTTAAAGCCAAAAATAAACATTTCTAATAGATTAAAGTATTACCAAAAGCATAAGGTTTTCCTGGACCAGTAATTTGTAAAGCCAACAAGAATAGAATACTCACGCAACACAATAAGGTTTTTTGTCGTATCCTTTGTAATTCTTCATGTTTAAAGTCATTCCACAATTTTCGCATTTGAAACAACTCTTGTGCCATATCTAGAAAAGAAATTGTTTAATTGAGTGCTTGAAATTATGCAATATAACAGATTATAGTTAAAAAACAATTTGCCTTCTAATGTCATTTACAAAGAGCAATGGCACCAACTACTTAGATTTTATATATATATATATATATATATATATGAAAAGACAACAATAAAAGAGAATATCATTTCAGTTCAAATTTCAAAAATGTTTATTGAAATCACAAGTAGAAATCAGAAAGTAAACATGCATAGTTGATGTTAGTTTTGTTTGCATGCATATGTTTGTTTTAAAAATATTCAGTTATAGCAACCAAGACACAAATCCAAAGTAAAGTAGCATGTTGATAAATTGAATTTGTGGATTGCTTTTTTTCTAAATTCTGAAAAATAATCAAGAAGGATGCAGGAAATAAAACTATGCCATATTATTAAAGTATAAAATTAATATTTTTTCTGTAATCCATTAAGAATTGCTAATATAAAATCATAAGAAACCCTCTTTTTAATTTCAGGACAGTTATCTGTGAACTAAACCAATTTTTCTCCAAGGCCACTGTCATGGAGTAACCAGTGAGAAATTAACATGTTGAGTACTTAGCATTACAATCAGTAATTTACAGAACAGTTATGGAATTTTATCATTAATTGCAATTATTTAAGTTTTTGATTTGGTAATGTCAAATCTTTACAAAACTTAGAAAAAGTTCAAATATGGAGAAAATACATACATATTTAAAGTAAGAAACATTTAATAATACTACTAGTTACTAGTACGTTTGAGCCAACAAGTTTCTATTTTGCATCTTAACAGTTTACTTGTACAGATCCCAATATTTTGTACATATTTTTCTTAGCCTCCTGCTTGCATCATTTCATAAGGATCCTAAAAAATGTTATTCTCAATATCCTTTCAAAACCCTCTGCCACTTTTCCAATTACAATCTTTATTAGGAGACAAAAGACTTTACTATATCCTTCAGTCTGAAGGATCCTGTGACTAGCATATTCAACTAATAGTAATATAACATGCAAGCTCTTAGAGGGCAAGTCAAAAAGTAATGGAATTTTCTTTATTATATAAGAAATAAAGAACAGAATCAAACGTATATACATCAAAGGTTCATATCCCTGCTTTTGAACATAGTCACCACCTCCATAAAACTTAGCTAGTTGCTGATGTAGCCAATTGCTTACAGAAGTTTTCACTTCTTCATCACTCCCTGACTTAGCACTTTCAGACTTTCATCTCTTTGGTCTAATGAAAGAGGCACTGAGGGGCAAAAATCATGGTGGTGATGAAAACTGCTGTAAAGAATTAGCTACCAGCTGAGTTTTATAGAAGCTGGGATACGTGCCCTCTTATGTAGGTAGAAGATAGTCACCACTTCTTTCAATAACTAATAAAAATATATTGTATCTTTATTGTTATACTGATCCTTTCCAGTTCTCTAATCAGTTTCTTGATGTTAAGATGAAATTCATTAAGGAAGGCACCACAACATTATATAAACATCTTACACTTCATTTGTTGGATACAAGTTCTATTGCACAACATCTAAAAACACATTCTTGTCTACATTCACAATACAGAAAAATACTTGTTGACAACACCAATATACTACACCATGAAAATAATTAACAAAAACTTCAAATTCTTGAGGTCCTCTATATCAAAATCAATGAACCAACACAAAATTTATGAGTATAGCATTAAATTTTGAAAAAAAATTGCATAACTACAATAGATAAATTAAAATTTTAAAATAATTATAACAGAGCACATTCACATGTGATTTTTAAAAATCACAATGAAATGCAAATTTTATCACAATTACAATAAGTATCTTTGTAATTTACCCCTAAGGATGATCTCAGAAAAGAATGAAAGTACTTTGATTAGAAAAAACTATAGTGCCTTCCTTGATGAATTTCATCTTAACTTCAAGAAACTGATTAGAGAATTGGAAAGAATCAGTATAAAAATAAAGACATAATATGTCTATATTATTCAATGAAACATACACATATACATGAAAATCATTCCTAAACATGTTATTTTTTAAATATAGCTAACCTCTCTGTATGATCATTTAGTATTATCAAAATAAGCATCTAAACAAATCAGTTTGTTGCATGTTATCTAATTCATTCACAGAATTAGTTACATTTTTTTTCCTTTATAGTATAATCTCCTTTGAAGGGCAAACCCAATCCAGCCTACAATTTCCAGCTGAGTAAGCAAAGCAAAATGTCAACACCAAACCACAAAAACCTCCAAATGATTCAGAAGTTTATATTAAAATTTACTTAAAAAAAATAAATAAAAAATAAAATAAATCTACACTATCAACGATGTTCTCAAGATGACCATTACATAAAAATATATAGACAAAAATTTTAATACTTTGATTTAACAGGGCATTATTGCAAATTGAAGGTTTTAAACAAGGTTAATCTGCTTTGTCACTCAAACTCACAACTCGCCCAGAAAACATTGATCTGCTTCAAACAAAAAGTGCACTAACTTAATACTATCCCAACAGTACATGTAGATTTTTCCTTCTTGATAACTGTTTGCTTTGGCATTTTTCAGATATAAAGTGGGTTGCTACTATTCTGAAAGTGATTTTTTTTTTTTTTAACTTTCTAATAATCTCCTTTCGATTTGCTGAAGAGTGATTTTGAATTTTACAGGAGCAACAACTTGACAATTTACTTATTTGTAATAATTAGTGTGAAGAGAGTTTTACTTTTGTTAAATGCCTTTCAAAGAAAAAAAGAAAAAGGAAAGTAGGTGTGTGGAGGTGTGCATTATATATGAAACATAGAAATCTTTATTCTTGTAACTTCAAAGAGTTGTTATAGAATTAAGTGCTTATAACCTGACACTTAGTTTGCTTTTTGAAAACCATTTGAAGAAAATTCAAACCGTATTGTGTATCCTACTAGTGTGGCCTTGTAGCAGTTGAAGCTGAGTTTACCAAATATCCATCTCTCACTTGAACAATTTGTTCCAGTAGCCATTATATATATTGTATAAAAAAAGAAAAACTTTCTGGAAGGTTAAGATTTAAGCCCAAATGTTGCAGTAATTCTCAGATTATTAAGTAAGCAGTTATAAAACAGGCTGTTTTTTTTTTGGGTTTTTTTACACTCCTCCACCCCAAGCAGATTCTACATTTTCTCAAACTATAAGATTAATTAACAGAATAGAACCTAAAAATGTACCTCAGAGACTTTGGGTTCTATATCTTAAAATAATGGAATCCCATTCTTTTAGCAAGTACTATGAACAGCCAAGATCCTCTTTCAAGAGATCTAATTCCTGTCAAACTCCCTAAACCAACATATTTGAGGTCACCAACTCTTCTGACCCACAAAACATAGCTGTCAGCCATTAACACTACTCCACTGTAATTTTTAACCTATTTGAGTCTAACCTTCCTACACAAGTTAATCTCACTCTTCACCATTTGCACACCCAACAAAAATACTGCATATTTCACACAAAGGTGAAATTATGTATATTTAAAAAGATAAGCAATAAAAATATTTCATGTCAAAAGCTAGAATTTATTCATAGGCATAGAGGAATAAACAAGCTGATGCCGAAGAGGAATTCTGACATTTTTATCCTCAATCCTTTTAACAGCTGGAGTTAGAAGTCACAGAAGAGAGAGAGAGAGAGAGAGAGAGAGAGAGAAAGTTTTAGTTGATAGAAATAACAGGTTTTTGATTTAGCACAAGCAAGTGAGTAGTTTTATAGAATACAGAAGTGTTTACTATCACCAATAGGAATATACAGGAATGCATAAGTAAATAAGATTCTCAATATTTGGGGGATAAATCATAATTTCTTGTGTTCTATATAAGTTATAAAATTGAAAAGTAATTAAAAATACCTGTATCTATGTAAAAATGCTTTTTAATTATTTTGTAAAAAGGAAAATCGGAATAGGTTTTGCAAAGGTTTGTGTGCACAAACATGCATGCATGCTGGGGGTCTCATACCCTGAATTCCTTTGATTCAGTCTTTCTTCTAGTTCATTACCTTCCCCTTCTTAAGGTAATGGAGTCCAAAGAAGAGGAGACAAACATGAAAGAAACTAGAGAATGAATGACTGAAACATTGTCTGAGGAATCATTAAATATTAATATCTCAAAATCTCTCCAAAACTGAAACTAAATAATTGTATTCTTCTTCGACTGTTTCTGTTTATTGTGCAGGAGCATAGTCCACATCAGTGGGCCCCTTCCAGATAACTGGCTAGCTGCATGCATGACAGTTCTCACTCCAGAAACAGGATCTGTTGATGAGCTTACTATAATTTTAGTGGAATGAAAATTTTTGACAGGATTGCCTGTCCTGGCTGTCATCCCAACTCGGATTTTAACAGTAATTGAGGACTCCACCATTCATATACTCAGGCATTGTGCCTTGACATTGTCCTCATAAAGGGATCATCTGCCAAACCTCACTATTTGCCCATGGCTGGACCCTAACAGGTATTACTACCCCGGGTCAGGGTGGACATGGGAACAACAGCAATTAAGAGGTGGTTTCACGCTCTTCAAAACCTCCAATCTAACTATCAGGTCTTTCTGCCAGATGTAGTTTATCATCTTACTCTGGGCTAAAAGATTATTATTAACCAGAAAAGTTCACTAAAGATTATTGCCTTGGAAGCCATAGAACAGAGGTTCAGTTAGTTTATAGAATTTAAGAAATAGAAATTGTATTTTCCAGGGATTTCCATACTACAGACGTTATCAGATTTTGTCTGCAACAACATTAAATATTAAAATGAATGACCTGCATTTATCACCTACAATTGATTATTTTGTCAAATCATTTGCTGATCACAAAGGCCTAATACTTATTTATAAAAATAATATACAACATGATTCTAATAAAGTAATGAATTCTATTTTTTTTTTTTTATCAGTCCAACAGATTTT